TAACAAAATATAAAATATAATTTGTAAAATAGGATATATATATGCTAGTATTTAAGTATCTGTAATTATGTGCAGCCATTAATTAAGGTCAAATAAAACTTTAAAGAGGGAAAAGGAGAGGCAAACTTTTGAAAGGTATAATGGCTTGTTAGGTAGCTAGACTGTATGTAGTTGTGTAGCTGTTAGAGCATTGTTAACCCATTGCCGCCGGGGAAAATTAACAAAAAATGGGGAGAATACTGTACTCATTTTTTATATTTTTGTGAAATATGTCTGTCCATAGATGGCTCTGCTAGTCCTGATTTCACCTTTCCTTGAATTGGCGGGAAAAAACGTACTCTTACTAATGCTATAAATATAGATGGTGTTATTTTTAACAGCAAATTAGGATAACGTTAAATATTTTCGTAAATCGATGAAAAGGGTGAACGGGCGAGACAGGCTGTACTCGTAATTGGCTCATTGGATACTTAGTACAAGTGTAGCCATCTATGTGTAAAAACAATCGAACAAGTCGACTCACAGTGGGCATGGCATGTACGTACATGCCATCCCCGGCGGCAATGGGTTAAGCTCTGATTGCATCTTTTGAATAAACTTTCAATAGACTTTCAATTTTCAATTTTTCAATTTCGTCTTCCAGTTTTTGGAGATGGGCATGAAGCGAATAACTCAGAAACAGTTAGTATGAAAAAACGGTTTCAGCTGTATTGTTTATTTTTAAGCATATGCTCCATTAATGTTAATACACTCCTGGAGCGGTTGATACCAGCCTTTAAGTCTGTCTGAGTAAAACTGGGGGTCATGTGATCTGAAACTTGTCAGAGCAGATCTTTTTACATTTTCAACCGATATAAAATTGGTACCTTTCAATTATTTTTTAAAGTTTGGAAACAAAAAGAAGTCGGATGGGGCTAAATCGGGGCTGTAAGGTGGATGTCGGACGATTTCCCATTGAAATTCACATTGCACAGCTCTTGTCTCCCGAGCGCCGTGAGCGGGTGCATTGTGGTGGAAGAGAACATTTTGATGTAGGGCGTTTTTCTGAGATTTTTTTTAGACAGTTTTCTCAAAACGATTCATAATAAGCAGATGTATTAGTTTTCTTGCTCTTGAGGAAGTCTACCAGGAAAATCTCCTCTGCATCTTGAACGATCAGATTTTGCTTTGACTGGTCCACTTCCACCCCAGGGCAGCCACTACTTTGATTGACTGTTAGAGCTATGTTTCATCCCCTGTCACAATTTTCTGCAGAAAAGCGTCAGAGTTCTCATCACACTTGTTCAAAATTTCCATTGAAAAATCTACCCTTTTTTGCTGCTGATCTGGGCGCAACAGCTTAGGGACACATCGAGTGGAAAGCTTGCTTAGCCCCAAACTCTCCACCAGAATTGTGTGTGCAGAACCCACAGAAATGTTGAGTGTGTCTGTTACTGATTCAGTGGTTATTAGTCTATCCTTTTCGATCACGTCATGAGTAGCATCAGTGTTTTCCTCAAAAATTGACGTTGATGGCCTACCACTGCGGGGTTCATCTTCACTTTCGTTTCTTCCACTTCTGGACCAACTTATTCATTTGTAAGTTGTTGATTTCTTTGGGGCATTGTCACCATAAATTTGTTCCAGAGCGTCAATGGTTTCCCTATTCTCCCAACTGAGTTTACCATGAATTTAATGTTTGTCCTGGCCTCGATTTTGGTGGATTCCATGTTGCTTGAATGGTGCCTGTCTTCCAACTGGCAGCGATGCATTATTACCTACATTTAAGGGTTCATGTTTGAACACGTTATAACACATTGGAATCAAAATCCTTCCATATGATATTTTGTTATGGACTTTTTTCCACGAACTTTTTGAAGCCCCCTCGTATATGTGTGGGTGTGTGTGTGTTTGTATGTGTGTATGTGTGTGTGTGTGTGTGTGTATGTGTGTATGTGTGTGTGTGTGTGTGTGTGTGTGTGTGTGTGTGTGTGTGTGTGTGTGTGTGTGTGTGTGTGTGTGTGTGTGTGTATGTGTGTATATATATATATGTGTGTGTGTGTGTATGTATGTATATATATATATGTATGTGTGTGTGTGTGTGTGTGTGTGCATATATATATATATATATATATATATATATATATATATATATATATATATGTATATATATATATATGTATATATATTATATATATATATATATATATATATATATATATATATATATATATATATATATATATATATATATGCGCGCGCGTGTGTGTGTGTGTGTGTGTGTCTGTATGTATGTATGTATGAACGTTTACACGCACACACACAAATCGCCCGCGTGCGAGCGTGTGAGTGCTTATATTGTTTTACAGCTACATTTTATTCATAAGTTCATTTGCCTTTACGCCATTATATTTGTAGGACGATTTTTCATAAAGTCAGGGAACAAAACCATATGGAGATGTAGCCAACGTCTATCATTAAATTCCACTGGTGGCCATTGCCGTGTTATCTTTTATGGCATGGAGGAAAGAGTCTTGCAGTGTCGAAACACCATTTCAAATTTGTTCAATTCATCATCATCACTGAAATTTTGTATCACTTTTCCCCAGTGATGATGTTTCTTTGGTTCAGTATAAATCACAGCTAAATATTTACATATGGATTCATCATCAATTTTCACGGATTTGTTACATTTCTGTCTTCAGTGGAATTTCACCTTTCTACTCTCCAGTAGCTTCATCTACATGTTCATTGTCCTTTTCTCGCGAGATCCTGTAAAGGCTCACATCCAGAGATGAGCCACGAGATTCTTCTGAACAATAACTTTCACCTGATATATTTGAGGAACCTTCTTCACTAGCAGCAGTATTCTTTCTTCTTTTCTGAGCCGTGGCTTTCTGTTTCCGTGTTGTTTCTTCTTCTCTAGCCCTCTGGTTCTATGATCTCTTCTTAGGTGCTTTATCCTTCTGCGTCTTTTCTCTTTCCGCAATGCTGCTTAAAACCTCCTCGTGTGTTGAGAACTGTGGCTCCTTTTCCTAACACTCAGTGAGCACCAGGTTACTTGGGGATGTTGTCGGTCAGATATGATTTGTTCCATGGCCTTATTGGTCTGTACAGCTTGCTTGTACAAGTTCTTGAAGACTGCGATGGTGCAGACAACATGGCTGACTATGCTAACACACTTTTGGAAGATTATCAGATGGAACTATGTAATCAGACTTTCTAGATGAACAAGGGGAGGGATTTGTACAATGGACAAAGGTGGCTTGTTTTACTGAGGGTTGCACTGCCAATTGGTTTCGTAGTACTGGGCATGATGGCATTCTCTGTGTCCTCTTCTTGAGCAGGTGGTAGGAGAGCCCTCCTCAGTCTCAGGATCCACCGATT